ACAGCTTGCAAGGAGGGTGCTCAACGACAAAACCTGCACCTCGACTCGCCTGAGGAGCTGTACAAGTGGTTTACGCAACAGATTGTCAAGAACTTGCATGTTGTGTTCACCATGAACCCGCCAGAGGGTGGCCTGGGATCCAAGGCTGCTACTAGTCCTGCCTTGTTCAACCGTTGCGTTCTCAACTGGTTCGGAGACTGGTCCGATCAGGCTCTCTTCCAAGTCGGTCATGAGCTCACCCAGTCCATGGACCTTGATCGACCCAACTTCCAGGCGCCTGATACTATCCCCGTGGCGTACCGCGCCCTCAGCCTTCCCCCTACGCATCGCGAGACCATTGTTAACTCCATGGTCTACATCCACTACTCCCTCCAGAGATTCAACACAAAGCTCTTCAAGCAGCAAGGCAAGGTCACCTTCCTTACCCCCAGACACTTCTTGGATTTCGTTGCGCAGTATGTCAAGCTTTACAACGAGAAGCGCGAGGATCTGGAGGAGCAGCAGCGCCATCTCAACGTTGGTCTCGAGAAGCTTAGAGACACCGTCGACAAGGTTCGCGATCTGAGGGTCAGCCTTGCCGAGAAGAAGTCTCAGCTCGAGAAGAAGGACGCCGAGGCCAACGAGAAGCTGCAGCGTATGGTTGCAGACCAGAGAGAGGCTGAACAGAGAAAGAACACCTCGTTGGAGATTCAGGTCGCACTCGAGAAACAAGAAGCTGAGGTGGCCTCGCGAAGAACGGTTGTGCTGGAAGACCTCGCCAAGGCTGAACCCGCCGTTGAAGAGGCCAAGGCCAGTGTTAGCAACATCAAGCGTCAACATCTTACCGAAGTCCGGTCCATGGGTAACCCGCCCCAGGGTGTCAGATTGGCCCTCGAGTCCGTCTGTGCCCTGCTCGGTCACAAGGTCAACGACTGGAGAACGATCCAAGGTATTATCCGTCGCGATGACTTCATTGCCAGCATTGTCAACTTTGACAATGAACGCCAAATGACCAAGGCTCTGCGTACCAAGATGCGCAATGACTTCTTGTCGATCCCTGAATTCACTTTCGACAAAGTCAACCGTGCCAGTAAAGCATGTGGTCCTCTGGTACAATGGGTCGAGGCACAGGTCTTGTACTCTGAGATTCTCGATCGTGTTGGTCCTCTGAGGGACGAAGTCGATGCGCTCGAGGAGACCGCTCTGCAAACCAAGGCCGAGGCCAAGGCTGTGGAGAACACCATCAATACCCTCGAGTCTAGCATCGCCCAGTACAAGACGGAGTATGCTGCGCTCATTAGCGAGACGCAAGCCATCAAGTCTGAGATGTCAAAGGTCCAGTTTAAGGTCGACAGAAGCGTCAAGTTACTCGACAGTCTTTCGTCTGAGAGAGTCCGTTGGGAGGAGGGCAGCAAGTCTTTCGAGACCCAGATCAGCACGCTCGTTGGCGATGTCCTCGTCGCGGCAGCCTTCCTCGCTTACAGTGGTCTTTACGATCAAACTTTCCGAAAGTCCATGATGGATGACTGGTTGCACCAGCTGCAGCTGTCCGGTGTGCTATACAAGCAACATAACCCAGTCACCGAGTACCTGTCGACTGCTGATGAGCGTCTCAGCTGGCAGGAGAACAGTCTGCCGGTTGACGATCTGTGCACGGAGAACGCCATCGTCCTCAAGCGATTCAACCGCTACCCTCTCATCATCGATCCTTCCGGCAGAGTCACCGAATTCTTGCAGAAGGAGAGCAAGGACCGTCGCTTGACAGTCACCAGTTTCTTGGATGACTCGTTCACCAAGCAATTGGAGAGCTCCCTCCGTTTCGGCAACCCTATCCTCATCCAGGATGCCGAATACCTCGATCCAATCCTCAACCACGTCCTCAACAAGGAATACCAGAAGACTGGTGGTCGTGTCCTTATCCAGCTTGGAAAGCAGCAGATCGATTTCTCGCCATCCTTCAAGATCTATCTGTCGACCCGCGACCCGTCGGCAACCTTTGCTCCTGATATCTGCTCCCGAACCACATTTGTCAATTTCACGGTCACCCAGAGCAGTCTCCAGACCCAGTCCCTTAATGACGTACTGAAGTCTGAGAGACCAGATGTCGACGAGCGGCGATCCAACCTTATTAAGCTGCAGGGAGAGTTCAAGATTCATCTGCGACAGTTGGAGAAGCGTCTCTTGCAAGCTCTCAACGAGTCCCGCGGAAACATTCTCGATGACGACAACGTCATTGAGACCCTAGAGACATTGAAGACGGAGGCTGCGGAAATTTCTGACAAGATGAGCAACACCGAAGGCGTCATGGCAGAAGTCGAAGAGATTACCCAGCAGTACAGCATCATTGCCCGCTCTTGCAGCACTGTGTTTGCTGTGCTGGAGCAGCTCCACTACCTCAACCACTTTTACCAGTTCTCGCTCCAGTACTTCCTCGACATCTTCCACTCTGTCCTGCATGGTAACAAGAATCTCGCCAACGAGATGAACCACAACATTCGGCGAGACATCATTGTCAAGGATCTGTTCATCACCGCCTTCAAGCGGACTGCGCTCGGCCTGCTCCAAAAGGACCGGATCACGCTGGCCATGCTGCTTGCGCAAGCTTCGCCCTACAAGATGGACAAGACGCTGATCGACATCATCCTTGATGATCGCGTGGAAGGCAAGGATCTTTCTACCGACAAGGATGCCAAGGAGGAGGCTTTTACCCGAGCTGGCCGCATGAGCGTGCTCAAGGACAAGCTTGACGCTGTTTCGTCTGCTGACTGGGACAAATTCCTGACTGAGGAGCTTGCTGAGAACTTTGTTCCTCAGATCTGGGACGACAGCACAGAGGCCTTTGACCAGGCTCTACAATCTCTGCTCCTCGTCAAGCTGTTCCGTCTCGATCGCTTCGTCCCCGCTGCCGAGCGATTTGTCACTCTGGTCTTTGGCTCCGACACTTTTGACGTCGTCGAGGATCTCAAGGAGACTGTTAGCCAGGTTCCCGCCACTAGACCGATTTCTCTGGTCTCCAGCCCTGGTTTCGATGCCAGTTACAAGGTGGACAACCTCGTTGAGAGGCTTCGCGTCAAATGCACCAACATTGCCATGGGTTCCAACGAGGGCCTCGCGAGTGCCGACAAGGCCATCAACAACGCCGCGCAGTTGGGCAACTGGGTCTTGGTCAAGAACGTGCATCTCGCGCCTACATGGCTGCAGAGTCTCGAGAAGCGCATGGAGTCGCTCAACCCCCACTCCGAGTTCCGCCTCTTCCTGTCAATGGAGTCGAGTCCCAAGATCCCCGTCAACTTGCTGCGCGCCTCCAGAGTTCTCATGTACGAGCAGCCCGCCGGTGTGCGCGCCAACATGAAGGACTCCATGTCTTCCTTGTCTACGAGAGGTGCCAAGGCACCCGTGGAGCGCACGAGATTGTATCTGCTTCTTGCCTTCTTGCATGCAGTCGTGCAAGAGCGTCTGCGCTACGCTCCAAGCTTGGGATGGAAGGGCTTCTGGGAATTCAATGACAGTGACGTAAGTCTTATATCGAAGTGAACATGGAATGCATAAGCTAACCTGCTCAGTACGAATGCTCGGCATTCATCATTGACACCTGGATCGAAAACGCTGCCGGCACCCGTACGAACATTGCACCTCAGAGCATCCCTTGGGAGATGATCCGCTACCTCGTCACGGAAACCTACGGTGGCAAGATTGATAACGAGGGAGATTTCAAGCAGCTGAACCAGCTGGTGCACTCGTTCTTGACGCCATCTGCCTATGACGTCGGACACAAGCTCGTTGAGGGCACAGAGAACCAAGAGGGCAGCCTCGTTGTGCCGTCGGGTACCTCTCTGTCGGACTTTATGGCCTGGATCCACAAGCTGCCGGAGCGCGAGCCGCCTACGTACCTCGGCCTGCCCGCCAACGCAGAGAAGCTGCTCCTGGTCGGTCTTGGACGCAGCCTTATTGGTAACTTGAAGAAGGTCACGGAGTTATTGGAGGAAGGGGAGCAGCTCATGGTTGAGGCCTAGTGAGCTGATGCCTGTGAGAGCGAGGGTGGATGAATAGAGGACATTGACGATTCCCTGATGGCAGGGGTTGCTTCCTTTTCTTTTGTGTCAAGAGAGACTTGGTAGAGGTCGTCTTGATTGCGAGTTGTTAAGAGTGTGTGGCATCATTGCCGACTTTTCCTTGCTCGAGAAGGAGTACTCGGCGTGGTAGTGGGCGTGGAAATCATTGAAAAAGGAGTGGATTACTTTGTTGTTGCAGATACTACTTATACACTGATACCCTAAATTTCAGATTGTTTTTTCCTTATTTTGGGCGGTGTTGTATGACATGTCGTGATGACTTGATGATAAAATGGGTAGAGACTTCAGTTTTGGTTGGCATTGATGAGTTTGCACACTGAAGCCGCGATTGCCTGACCTGTCGTTGTTCGCTCCTTAATTGGGTCTGATTGAATGACGGGTTGCAGTCTTTGCAAAGAGCTTTGGACATATTAGTAGAGGTGCGCGAAGCTCAAGTCGCGTCGAGATAAAGGGACCAACTACCCTTGATGCGAAGAGAAGAGGGTGTAGTGATTGATGCATGCGCGGATCCCTCGGAATACGACACCACTAAAGGGGTAAAGATTATAAGACAAAGGATACCATTGTAGATGACGAAGAAGGTAAACTTGATTGGAAAGGTGTTCTAAGAAGAAACCAAAAAGAAAAAGTTCAAAAGAATGATTGCTCGTAATCTGTGTTCAGATTACCGACGACCAACCTGGGACTCGAACCCAGAATCTTCGGATGAGTTTGTATTCCTCATAGGAATCCGACGCCTTAGCCATTAGGCCAGCCGGCCTGCCAGGATCTTATTTTCTGTTGAAGCGAGGGGCGGAAGTCGGGGCCTATGTTTCGTGTCGAACGGTGAGGTGGGGGTGTGCGTGCCGCTGTGTGGGCTTGCGGTTTAGTGGAGTGTCATGTCTGTCCCCCTGTCTGTCCTGTCCTTTGAGTCCGCTGTGCGCGGGGGGCCTGTTGTGGTGGGTGGGCTCAAAGACGTGGAGCTTTTTGGTGTCCTTGTGGTTGACCTGCTTTTTGGTTGTTGTTGTAGGGGCATGGAGGATCGTGTGGTTCAAAAGGAAGAAGAAGAAGGGGGAAAAAAACCCCTACCTGAGCGCCCTGCGCGGATGGGAAAGGAAGAAATGGAAAAGAGAAGATGTGACATGTGGTAAGGTAGTGTGCGGCGGGCTTAAGTGACTTCCTCAAGGCTGTTTGATATGAGGTGGTGTGGGAGAGGAATTGCGCGGGTAGGCACATGGACGAGCCGGCACATATCCATATTCGTATTCCAAAGTGTGGACATAACAACCACATCCCACATTTTTGGGAAGGGAGTATCGTAACTTGATTGCATGCATACCCATGTGAAAGCGCTCCAGTAAAGGAAACAGACAGTTGGGGAAACGAGTTGGACTCGTCGATCGAGCAAAGCGAGAGCAGAAGTGGCAAGCGACCGCCTTGGGTCTTCATATTTACAATGTCATAGAACGTGAGCTTATAATACAGGATTACCTACACCTACATCGAGTCCCATGACATAGCCTTCTACAAATACCCTTTTTGCCATCTCTCTATCTAGGGAATCTCCTCATAGCCCCTTCAAACCGTGACGCCGTAAATCTGCTTAACGTCATCCTCCTCCTCAGCGGCCTTCTCCTCAGCCTTCTCAGCAGCCATCGCCTCACTAGTCTCCTCGGCCTTCCTCTCCTCCTCCTCCTCCTCCTCCTCCTCCTCCTCCTTCTTCTTCTTCTCAGCCCTCACCCTCGCCATACTCGTTTCCCACAATTCGTCTTCCCTTACTCTTTAGCCCTAGCCTTCCACGCCCGCCACGCCTTAAACTCCTCAAACTCCTCGTAGCTCACCTCGGCCTCCATAGCCGCCTTCGCGCTCTCCTTCTCCTTCTCAGCCTCGGTGTCGCGGGGACTGTCGCACTTCTTGCTCTCCTTGCGCTCCTCGGGCTGCTTCCGACTCGGGTAGCCTTCGCCCTGGGCCTCAAAGGCCAGACACACGGCCGTGGCGTAGTCTCCGTCGTGGCTGATGGATAACAGCGCCTCCTGCCCGGGTATCCCTTCGTGTATGCCGCGCACGATGGCGATGGGCGGGCCGCTTCCGTTGGGGGTTAATGCGGTCGGTTCTGCCTCCTTGGCCTCGAGTTCTTTCGGCTCCTCATCCTGCTTCTTGGGCTTCTCTTCTTGCTCCGTGGCCTTCTTCCGCTCCTCAATATCCTTCAGCTGCGCGGATTGCTTCCGGGCAATGGTGATGTCGTGCCATGTCAGGTTTCTCGTGGGGTGTGCTTTGAATGTCGCTTCCTTGGCTGCGAATCTATAATCATGGGGGGTTTGAAGACGTGAGCTTTCGCACACTCTCGCTCTCTCTCAATTGACCGGGAAGAGAGATGAACTCGGGAACGAAAGCTTACCTGCCAGCTAGGAAGCTAGCCTTCTTCCATAAAAGTGGGTTGCGCTTCTTCAACGCCTGGAAGTCGTCATCTTTGGAAATCTCGGACGGCGTCGCTGATGCGTCGGCCGACTTCAGGACGGCAGGGATCGCGAGGCGCTCATGCTTGGTGAGGATGCGACGGAGAAATCTGGATTCCTTGTCGCTGGCCAAAATGCGGTAGATGCGGGAGATTTGACACAAGTCAGTCCCTACTTGCAGAGGAAAAGGAAACCTCTTGGGCGGCAGCATGAGGAACAAGTTTGGGTATCAAAAAAAGGGTGGAGATCTTCAATTGGCATCCGTAAACTCAAGCTGCAACAATGACAATTGATAGATTCACTGCCAGGGGGTTCGAGGTACCTTAATCCGTTCCACCTTCAGCTCTAAGCTAAGGTAGGTAGATACTACCTTAGGTAGCTCAGGTAAGGTACTTCAAGATAGTTCAAACCGATAAGAAAGCTCGACAGCGATAACGATAACGATAAGACCGTGGCTACGTCATTCCTCCCCGTCCTCTCTTCCCTAAGTCGAATAAAACATGGGGAATTATTGTGCTGTCCTTCGCATGCATGGCCATTAAAAATGCCATGTACATTCCATACCGAAAACAGAACCAATTGTCGCAGCAACTTCAGAACGAAAACGGCTTTTTTGTCACCCATTACTGTCATGGGCGGCTTCTAACCACACTTCAGCTCGAACTCCTCCTCTCGTGCAGTGAGGGGTGCTTCTGTCGCGAGAATACGCCATTGCGCAAACTTCGGTATCGAGCCTCCAATGCGAACATAATGACATTTACTGGTCATCTGCAAGAAGGGGAGCGCGCTCCGAGTCGGCAGTGCGGCTCCTCCACGGGTAGTCTTTGCCAGTCGCAGCCGGGTAGGCAATTACGAGAGTCGAGACGAACAGCACGGCCATGATGGTGAAAGCAAAGATCCACTGAAAGGCAATGATTTGGCGGCCGAACTGTGCAACGCCAATGGCGGCGGACAGGACGCTGAGAGAAAAGCCCATGGTGTAATCCTAAAGCATGATTAGCACGGAATTTCGGAGCATCGTAGGCGCAAATTCGCTCTTACCTTGTAGGTGACGATGAAGAAACCTCCGTAAACCAGAATGGACCAGATGAAGATGTTGCCAAAGATGCGAGCAACCAGGTTGTGGGGGTGGGGAACCATGATGGCGCCGTTCCAGTAGATAGCCACGAACGTCCAGGCCAGAGGAGCGGAAACGACAGGCCAGTGGATGAAGCGAGGGTACGTGTTGTGGCGGAAGTAAAGAGACGACAGATTGGCGAAGTTGACGATCAGGATGAACTCAGCCCAGCCGAAGTGGGAGCGCACGAACAACATGACAAAGGCGAAGTGCAGGAGGTTGTTGAAGATGAAGTGCGATCCGACGCTGGCGGCGGCGTTGACATAGTCGCTGTTGCTCGAGAAGAGGTGTCCGACGTAGCCGATTTGGAGGATGAAGAGAACGACCCTGGACCATGTTAGAAGTGCCACACACCTGAAAGGACGAGACGGAATTTACCAGTATATGTCGATGATTGTGGAGTTCAGAGTGAAGGCAGTGCGGTAGAGGTAGTTCTGGTCCCAAATTCTTTTCCGAATTGTGAAGCCATCGTGGGGCTCATTGACCGTGTAGTAGAGAGTGACGACGAAAGCCAAGAGCCAACTCAGAATAGTCAAGACCTTGTAGGTGGTGATGGAGGCGGCAGTATGAGACTCCTTCTTGGAGAAGGGGTTCACTAGAGAAAATGTCAGCACAAACGAATAGTTGCATACACCGAGGATGGATAGTAGCTTACGGGCGTGAATGCGCTCTGTTGCGGTAGGCATCTTGAAGGATGATGATGGTTTTCCGGTGTTGAATCCTCAGTGGCCACGCAATCTGCGGTACTTGCGAGTCTGGTGTTGCACAAAAAGTTGTTTGATGGCAGCAGAAGCTTGGAAGTAGCAAAAAGGCATGAGTTGAGGAGGGCGGCGGTGGCTTATAAGCGAGGGACGCAGGAAGAAGGAAGCAGGAAGCATGGGGTTGGTAGATGGGACATTAAATCTGCGGGGAAAGCAGCTCGCCACAAGCACATTAGCGTGTAACGACTAACGCGGATGTAGACGGTAGACCTGAAGAGAGGTTCCTTCCTTGCTGCAGCGGTCCTCGTCCTCCAGGGCTGGCTATGAAGGCAGGAGGCATGAGGCATGAGGCAGGAGGATGGGGAGGAGGTACTGTTCCGGTCCCGACTGCGGGACCTCAATACCTAAGGTACCTCAGGTAACTACTCCGTACAGATTCCAGGCTGGGGCGGGATACATGGACCATTGGGCAAATGAGATGGGATGGCTTGGGCGTGCTTGTTTGGACTTGTTTGGACGCCTCGCTTGATCAAGTAGGCTACGGGCTGGCGCCTAGAGGATGCTACTACCGATTGGCTGTCTCGTGCAGCACGCAAGTCAATGGGAGACCTCTTCGGTCAACGATCCATTTTGGAGACATGAGGACGATGTACCAGGTAGCCGTACTGTCCCACTACCTTGAGGTATCGTAGACGAATTCAAGAAGCATAGGGTAAGAACAGCAAGTGGCCTCAGGCGTGAAGCGCTTTGGATCGGGATCGCCCCTGCGGTTTTGCGGTTCAACAACATGACACAGGGAGCCTGCGAGCGGCAGCCATGCCAGCCAATGCATGGATAGTCAGACGGGCTGACCTGGACCTGTCAACCCTGTCTGGCCGATGCTCTTCCCTGCTGTATCCGGACCGCATCAGCCACACCTTGGGTCCGGGGTTGGAGACGACGTTTGTAGCGACGCTGTCGTCAGAGCTGACGATGCCGCCCTGGGCGAGCGTGGCCGGAGTCGAGAGTAGGCTCATTTGGCTAGCACTCTGAGCTTGGTGAAGGTTTGAGACCATCCACCATCTTCTGCTCTTGTACCTACCTTGATGGGGTGGCACAGCAGCAAGCTGTTGTGAAAAATGTGCCACTCTTGAGGCTAGCGGGAAGGGTCAGTCGATTCAATCCAAGATGGCGACCACTACAAGCCACACATTGTGTCAGGAAGCCAAGAGGTAGGCTTTGGTCTTGGAAACCCCGCCTACGCTTCCTTCCTGGCACCAGCTTGAAACTGGAGGGATTTTTCGCTTGTCTAGGACATTCGTTCATAGGAAGGAAGAACAGGCAAAAAAGGGGGCGTTTGGAGTAATGGAAGAGATGAGGTGAAGCTGGAGCACCCGCACACACGCACTCGCCGCAGTGTGGAGGTACCTTGGCACCTTGCAGCTGCACCTCCAGACTTCAGTCCGATCCAATGGCTGGCAATGTGGGCGGAGTGGGGCGATCCGTGGTTGGGTCATCCTTGCACAGGTATGACGACTTGCCGCGACTTCTCGCTGAAGCTCGTCGACTTCAGTTCTTAGAGGCAAGAGCTCCTAACCTCCAGTGACTTCCTACCCGGTTGCCCCACAACGATCCCAAATGCCAAGGAGCCACTCTTTGCCGCTTCACAATTTCTCCATCGACCTTCAGACATTTCCTCCCGCATTTGCCTCCTTGCAACCTGTTGCGCAACCCATCTCCAACCGCCTCCACGTAGGTATGTTTGGTCACTAGTCCAAGTCGGAGCTGGAGCCCGTCAACCGTCACCGAGGCCGAGACACAGTCACACTTGCTCGACTAGGTCTCATGATACCGAGCTCACTACCAGACCGCCCTGAGGCTTACTACCCACAGTCTCCCACTTTGACTAAGCCAGAGGCCAACATCTCTTTTCTTAAAACAAGTTGGCATTCTACAATATACGCCCATCCATCATTCCCACGGACAGACTTTACGAGCCACAAGGTGCCCCATGCCGACTCTTTATACGGACCCAAGTCGTTGGGGCCCATCAAGAGACGAGCACCCTGGTTTTCCATCCATGGACCTTCATCATCATCACCTCATAGCTTCCCTTCCTGGCCTGATTTGCTGCTGGCGGATGGAGCAGATGAAAACATTACCCTGCGCACCTAGAGCGCCGTTTCCTCCTTCTCTCCAAACAACTCTCAATTCGACCTCATACATATGCAGTCTTCGCCCATCCCTTCCATCGCATCTAGAAAGTTGCGACTGACTGCACACCCACCCGCACAATATCCAATTCTCCAATGGAACGGTACGCCGTTCGAGGGGGCGGAAGCTATGGTGGGCGGGTAGCTCAGCACACCACCTTGCAAACCACCAAACCCAACTAAACCCGCCGGCCACAGACCGCTCCCTGCTATGCCGGGACAGGCTTTATTTTACGCAAAATGATCGGCAAAAACGCTTTCTCACCTGATTCCGATGTATAATTTCTTTGTTGCTAACGATTTCCCAGGTTCTTCTATCTCGTGAGAGAATAAAAAGTCATCGGCCAACTGCACGTCTCATGCCACTCACTCTATTCTTGGCAATGGCCTCAATGCAAAGTTCCGGAACCATACGCGGCAGGCGTCGAGTTCAGTCTCTAGAGGGCCCACCCCCGTCCGACATCTGCACCGACGCGAGCAGGGAGGTATTTCTACCCGGCCGATACATCCCCACGTCACCGCACCTTTCCCTCCGGCCTGTGGGCTAAATTGCGGGGCACACTCCAACCTGCATCACCTGGCCCTTCTCGTGTCCTGCCCCCTCACGCCTAATGACAGCATCCGCGAATCAACTCGTCTAAGAGCTGCGGCACGGCCATTACCGACTGGCTGCCACGAAGCAAGGCACCATGTTCAGGTCAACCAAGTGAGCACAATCCATCTCGATGGATCGGCCTCTTTGTGAAGATTTCCTAAGGCGTGGCGACAAAGCAAACGACTTCATTGGAATAGCATGCTACCCAGGTATCTATCTATACGGCATCCTACAATTTCGACAACAACTTTTTCTTCACACCAGTCATATTGTACACCTAATCAACCCAATATCTCTGCCATCGTCCGTTATTGCAAGAAGCCACATGAAAACGGCTCACCGCGTATCGGGTTTCGGACTCTGTTCCTGATTCTGAAGTATTCGTCGCCAGCCTTCTCTAATTTGGTCAGGCTCATCTCCGCCCTTTGGCCTGGCAGCATGTCGCTACTACCATCCTCTCTTTTCGTATTGTATGTACAGAAGATCGGCTTCTCTTTGGGGCTATAGACTGCCCTTTGTCGCTGCATCGATTGTGATTGAGGATGCGTCGAGTCCGCATGAAATGAAGTTGCCGCCGACTGTTGGCTTTGATGTTCTCGGAGTGGGGTCGGTCTCCGACGCCCGTGTGCCGATGCTCGACCCATGTTTGCGGCTGCGGGCTCCGAGGGCTCGGAGTAAGACATTTCTCTTCGAAGCATCTTCTCTCTCTGGAGACCACCTGTTGAATTTGGCTGGCAAGGACGGGCGTACAGCAAGTGCTGTTGATATTGTGGCTGAGTTGGTAACACAGAGAAAGGCGCAGTCAAAAGATCCAAGTTGAGAAGGCTCGTTTGTTGTCTGATTTGACTTCTGGGGCGAGGACCCGCTCTGAGGTTTCCTGAGCCTGGCGACTTACTTTTATATGAAAAACGTATCAATATTGGAACTTGGCTGAGTAGGCCGGTCTAGCATGCCATTCCCCAGGTGGCCAGACTTTGTCAATGGGAATTGCACTTTTCTTGGCTGGATGTAGCGGCATGCATGACCCTTCGGCTTTTTGGTATTTTGATGTAATGGTGTTGTTGAAACCCAAGTGAAATTTCAACTCCCAGAATGACAACGCCAGCTTAGTTGCTGACCCAATGGCGGTGCAGGGAAACTTGCACTTTTCGACCCCTGGCCAAGCGATGATTGGATCGTGTAAGGACTTTGCATACAGAGTGAGGTGCTATGAAATTACAATTCGGACCCAAGGCTACGTACTTGGTTCGCGGACTGGGAGCCTTCTATGAAAATCAGCCTCAAGAAGGCGACGAGTGGCGGAGCTCATTGGGCTTTCTTGGGTTATGAGGAGGACTCCAAGGCACTTCGTCTCTTGCGGAAGAATCTCGTTTGATTGTTGAAAACTACAAGTATCATACGAAATGGAAGCAGAGTATATGCCCGCATTCGAAGTTCTGGGGGACACCTTTCGGGCATTACCAACACAAAGTTATACAATCAACGAACTTGGTATGGCGAAAGGAGCAAAGAAAACGAGTCTTCGAGCGCTCCGGATCCCGGTGGAAACGTGGGACAAAATGAGGCCGACCATCTGTGAAGAATATATGACGAAGACCCTTGATGAGCTGGTCTCGTTTCTCAAAGTTGAACATGATTTCAGCGTAAAGTATGTTTTCTCCTTCAAAATTTGATTTGGCGCTGATGTTTTCCAGGAAACGCCAACTTGTCTACAGGCTGGGCACCTGGGGATGCGGGAAGTATAATAATAATCCCAAGGGTCTCAAAGGTTGGTATGGCTTGCTCGATGGCGATGGGAATTGCTGACGATGTTTTCTCAAGACGAACAAAGCGACGTGGACTCCGACCTGGACGATGAAGAACTCGATACAGACGACGGTCACTTCAACGAGGTTACCGACGCATTAGAGCTCACATCCTGTTTCGAGGCTGGCTCCTACGCGTACGATCAAGTCAATCGAAACATCCAAGCAGCGACTGCAATTTTCGCTGCTGGCGGCGGTTGTGGTGGGTTAGCTTGGACCGCATATAAAGACGGTTATCTCAACACTAAGGGGCATGCAAACCTTCTTGTGGCCCTATGTCGATCAGCCGAGACGGAACAACAATTTCAGGAAGCGTTGGATGTACTGGGGCCACACAAGCTTCAGTCGGGCGATCAACGTATCCTGATGTATGTCCACGTCTTGGAAAGCATGAATGATGAGAGATGTAGGAACGACAAATTCCAACTGGAAGGTCCTATGGCAAGAAACGTCGCCGACGCCGTTTCTTCAATCCTCGATAGGTCTGGGAAAGGCTTTATGCTCAAGGCAGATGGCACTGTTGATCTTTTTGCTTTCCATTTGCTAGACGTCATCTACGAGCGCTATTCGGCGTGTCTCGATAAGTCGCAAGAAGACAAGCTCCGAATCCTCCTGGACTGCCTGGAAGGCTGGGTCCTCTCGCGAGGCAAGAACGGGGCGACGACGTCTACGGCTCTCGATACACTCAGGGAGTGCGTGCAGTGGTGCAGCCAGAGGCTCGAGGAAGTCTGCACAGATTTCGCCCAGACAAAACAGACAAGACGGCCCAAGCTCCGCTTTCCCCACAGCCAGGATGATTTGATATGGAAGGAGCACCTTGAAGTGTATGGAACTCTATGGTATAGACTGACTTTGCAGCAAGAAGCTGAAAAGGTCGAGGAGGGCGTCAAAAAAGCAGGAGAAGAAGACGGCGCTGGCTGGCTTGGATGGGCCTGCGATGCCAGGAACGATCTCGGCATTTCGCACGCGGAGGTGCTCTCGTACGTGTGCTGGGTCCTCGTGAACTACGAAGAAAACAGCATCACCGGGCACGGTACGGGAACCGTTGACATGACGACGACGGCGAACGGGTATTATGGCGGATCGGCGGGGAACGAGTACAACGAGTCGTCCGCGGAGAGCTTGTTCCTTCGAGTCAAGGCCGCCGCCAATGTGATGAACGGAGCCGAGCCTAGGATCTTGTGGCATAGGTTCCTGTATGCCTTCAAGGATTTCAACGACCTTACGGGCGGGAACGATGAGTTTGGGGACGTCGCGGCGAGGGCGGCGGAGTATAAGCGTTTCAGGGGAGGGATCGTGGCCGAGTTTGCGAGCTTTGTGAGGGAAGCTCTGAGTGAATTTGAGATTAGCCTTTTAGATTTATAAGGCAGGCGAGGCAAGAGATTGTTCATGTTATCCATACTAGTGTGCGACTAGAAGATGAGGCCGTTCTCATGACGAAATGTTCTATCTTTATCTTACAAGCTGTGATCGCAACATGAAAGAGAGGCCCAGTCTCTTTCCTATGGTATCAGCCGGGTTTCGGGATCTGACGTTAATAGTCAAGAAAGCTGACAGTTAAAGAACCATGGAGGTTGAAAGCCGAAGCTGCTACGATAGATGCACACTCGCTTCCTTTCTTGTGGTTGTGATTAGTCTCAGCCATTTGGCGTGGAGGAGGAGCGGTGATATGACGACTGATGCCCACGTTTTGAATGAGCAGGGAACGCGTGAGACAAAGTTGTTTAGTCAATTGAATTCACGATAAGGAACATGATTTTGTCTGATTCTCGGCTTCGTGGACACATCGGGAGGTCAGACACAATAGATGTATTCTCATCCTGAGGGTTGACATTTACTCTTCTCTTGTACCGGGATGAAAAACACTTGGGTCCCCTGCTTGTTTGAGAAATTCATGCGCTTACCTATGTTCTTACCTGTATATAAAGGTGACGAGAATCCATGATTTCAACGCAGAGTTCCCATAAACAAGACATTGGCTCCGTCTTTGATCTATCATCAATGTTTTTCTATTATGAGGGCTAGAATATACAGGAAACAAGCAAAAGTGCCAGCTACTACTACTGCTGCTGCTGCTGCTGCTGCTGCTGCTGCTGCTGCTGCTGACTGTTCTCATTTAGCCAACAGATTTGACAGCAGGTCAAGGTCGCATAGCCTCAAACAACAGGAAGAAGCAATCTGGACTCATGTTTATGACACCGAAGACGACTTCGAACTTGCTTTCGGTGCTCTCCAGATTACTGTGTTCAACAAGTCAGGCGTTGATACGGCTTTGGGACTTGCTTTTATATCCACAATAGGAGTGGGTACTGTAGTCAGTAACAGAGTCTGTCAGGTAGGAGGTGTGCCATTGCGAGGTCCTCTTGCTTCGTCGTTGGTTATCGCTGTAGTGAGATGGGTCCCAGGTTACAACTTGTTTTCGAGAAGACCGCCTTGAAAACCCGTTCACATAGAACAAGAGACATCTTGGAACATTGATGTAATAGCGAAGCTTGAGTTTCCATCTTTCCTTTTGCTGGTGTACGAGACGTGCATTCGTTGGGAGCTCTATATTGTGAATTATCTCGAAACATCTGGGTACTGTACCCCCAAAGGGATAGAACCACTTCACCTTGGCATCGCCAACATGCAGGTCAGCGTGGCTGATGAGGAGTCCGAGTGTCAATGAGCAAGGCAAAGTAACTTCTGCAGGTAACGTGTGCGGGAGGCCGGAAAGTCCCAACTGTCGGCGGAACCTTCCGGCAGAACCTTCCCCGGATGATGTGTACGGCATCAAAGCTCGCCACAGACGTTGAGCAGGTTTTCTCGTTTTCGATTACCTCACTCCCCATACTTTAAGGCTTCAGTAGAGACAGCGAGCGGGCGAAAAGGTTCTGGAAACACCAGAGTCTCGGAAACATACCCCGATGATTGGCTTTCCGGCCGTAAGGGGGAAGCGGTGTCCGGTTGAGGGGTCGGTGGGAATCCCTCTGTGCTGCTGAGAAGTGAGAAGGACGTGGCAGGGTGTTCGTTCCGAGAGGCCTGGCTGGTTGTGACTTGGCGTCTTGTTGTGAGCAGCAGGCAGACGGTTGGGTTGTCCAGGGATTCCAGCTTGAGGGGGGTTTTTGAGTCTATTCGCGAAATCGGAATGGCTTCTATCCGAGAAAAGCTCGACCGCCGCACCCCAAATCCAAGCCACTTGAAGTCGTTCACGAACGCGAATAAGAATCCGAATAAAGATTTTTAAAGAAAAATACAGCAGTAAACCGGAAAACCATGGCTGTCAAGGGCTGGCTGTCAAACGATGGCAGAGCCGCGAACGGGTAGTAGCGTCATTCATTGATTGTTGGAAAGAAAGCTAGACCGAAGCAAAACCACAGCATTTCAAAGCACATTCCCAGATGGGCGTTTCTCCCCTTCCCCCTCTCCCTAAACTAGAAGTAGAATCTTTATCCAGGCGAGCACTAAGTACTAACTTTATAAATCCCACGGTACGCTAGGAAACTTTGTGAGGCGGCTTAAACGCCGACGGTGCTTTCACTGGTCAGTTCGGCTCCGGTAGATTGCTGGTTGCGAACTATGATTATTTCTTATTCCACAACATTGCAATGTAATTGCAGGGCTTGGGTTGGTACTTCCGCCAATCAGCATCAACTGTCGCTTGTTAAAACTATTGGAGTCTCCATTGCCCGGTCTTTCTTTTGGATTCCTAGTCGTCGTTGGGCGTGAACTAAGAGGGCATCTTGGTGGCTGGATCGTCGTCGTACAAAGAATGTTGTTGTTGAAGATGGGAAAGTTGATTTTCCTCGAGACGAGGATGATGTGGGGCAGGTAACCGGCGGCAGAGTTCTCGATTAGTAGACTTCCCATGTGTTTTTTTTTGTTGTATATGAGATGCCTACTTTAGATACTAAGTGTGCACCTGTCCACATGCTCACCCGCAATTCTGGATCAAGACCTTAGCGCTTAAAGGCAAATTAGACGAGCATCCGGCCGTAGGCGAGTAAACCAAGTCTCGCTTGCGCATTTTAACATGTCATGGGTGAAGCTTATCAGGCGTGACTCCGGTTACGTAGACGGCTGGTGAGGCTTGGCCGCCCATTTCTTACTTGTGACTTGTAACAACTGTAAATTCCATGAATCGAGAAGGCTCCCTTCGATCCAAAACTCGATGAACGGGATTTTCCGTGAGCCTACAATCTGAATAGTGACAAAATAGACACTGAGAGAGAATGTAGGGCCAAGTGTATCCCGCCTCCATGGAACGACTCCACATCCCGAGAACGGTATTTCTTCTCTCGGGAAAGAGCTCGTCCGCGATTCTTGAGGAGCTCTGATGACTCGCTGATATGGGAAAAGGGCAGAATGCCATCCTTTCGAAACTCGGAAGCTGTCCGGCTCCGAGATCCGGAGTGGAGACGCATGTCGAGCCGGAAAGCTAACCTGTGTTGAGCAAAATGCCATGAGGCTAGATGGACGTCCTTTAGCCGCTTTATCCGGTATGAAGGGGCGTTGAATGCCGTGCCAAATGGACTCCGTGAGCAGAACTTCTCCATATAAGGGAATCTGGGCCACTCTGCATGCGTGTTTGTTTCGTAAGGCAAACCACTCCCTCCACCTGTTGTCTCTCGCTTCTCGGTCGAGACCCTTTGAGATAGTGAGATATGCGTTACCGAGATTACCACTGGGTACGTAGCCGGCTCACTGAATAGAATTGGATATTGTTGGGCGCGGCTGAAGAAGGGATCAGAGACGGTTCCAGAGACGGTTCCAGAGATGTACCTCGTAAAGCTCAATCGGGCATTATGATCGTGAACTGACCGACTGTTCTGTTTCGTTGTGGCCAGCATGTGATCTCGATCTCGCCATTGCTGGCATTATCAACCTCTAAAAAGTATTGAGACAGCATGTGAATAACGGTTGCGACATGTGTTACATGAAATGAATGAGTCTCTGAGCGAAGTAGGTGGCGGGCAATACGTCCAAAGCCTCAGTGTCTTGCGGGTTCAGGTGTGTTTTGCGGAGGGCATGAGGGAAAACGGGCAGAGGCTCACTGCTTGTCTTAACTTTAATGGCGCCCTTTTCCACCAATTCGGTAAACTTGGCAACGATCGGTCCGGAAGGCTTCTCGTATTACGCGAGAGAAGCCAATTCATTCCCTCGCTTGCCTCGTTGGAACTGCTGGAGGGCTGAAAAATGCCTGGGAATGACGTGTGGTAATTTGTGAGACATGAGAGCTGCAGGGATGTAAGTCACCCGTGGCCGGCCTAGACAGCTGCCGTCTTGGGGGTCCTTTTGATACTTTCTTTCGGGCTGGTGAGGCTTGCGTGAAAATTGATACTTGAAAGAGTAGGCTCCTGAGTGGTTTGGAATCCTTGCTGCCCGATGCAATCGATACAGCGGCCGCCGAGCTTCGGTATGAATTTAGGAGGAATGCCGATGAGAAGAGTAGACGATAACACGCTTGCGGCTGACTTCCTTGGCTACTCCGAGTCATATATAAGAGGTTTGTGGGGAATCAAGCCTCATGATGAGTAGAATGAGAAAGAAAGTGATCATGTATGCAGTGTGGACACTCGTCCGGTAAAATTCAGGGTACAAGGCAAGAACATGATGAAGTTGACGTGACTGCCTGAGAGGCGGTGATGGTGCGATGGTGGCAGGCAGAGATATCTCAAAAAAGAATGTTAGGGAAGGCCCCGGCGAAGTTGGACTGGGCGGGATAGGTCTGTGTCTCCGTAATAGGATCGAATCATCGATCGACGGCAGGAGGAAATGAGTTCATCCGTGGAGGGAATTGGTTGGCTTTTGCCCTGCAAGCCGGTATCTTTCTCTCCCTTACCTCATTGATGTCGGGGAGAGGGAGCGCAACCACATTGCTGGGCCCTTGCCAAGGCGACCTAAACAACAGAGTTGGCTTACGGATACTGATACCTATTCTTCTTGTCTGGCATTGCTATCATGTACATGGCCGAGGTTGATAGGGCGAATGCTTAGATGCCGGGATGCGGGCAGAGTGAGACATACGAAGACATGGGAAGCGCGCATCCGTACCTCACCCAGACGGCACTCTGGCCGCCCTGAACCCAGCGGTATTCCCCCTCACCGGACATCAGCGGTGTCCGAGATGTGGCGTGCAGAAATGCTCTTCAGCCCTGCTCGAAGTGAGGTGCAAGGCGGCCCGACCATGGCAGGCAATGGGCAATCTCTCGGTCCCGGGCTCTTTGGGATGTCTACGGCCTACGGAGCCAAGGATGTACGGAGTACGGAGTATAGGTCTGGTACAAATAGGAAAGACCTGGGGACATGACCTGCATATCTGTTCATGGGTAGTGATAGCGGGGAGCCGGACCCAGACACCGAGGAAAGCTGTCTTTCACTGAGGGCATCGGGATGAAGGGGCGGTCAGACATGACTTTACTATGACGGACGATCCCTGAAGATGCTGCTGAGAGGCACAACCAACCAGGTCTCCTCCAGCCGCTCCTTTGAGGGGATGCTGGGAGTGGTCAGGAAAGGTCGGAGCTGAAAGCGCGCATTCATGGATGCTGCTGCTTGGTACCCTAATAAGATGGCTGACTTCCATTTTGAGAACTCGACTTCGAAGAGGAGGGGGAGACTGCAGAAAATGTGAGGGGTGAGGTGATGTGAGGTGAGGACGGGAGAGCTTGCCAGCTTAGAGTTGCCCCGCTTTTGTACCACGTGAGCAACGAGTGGTGCTCCCTGGGGTTACACGGAAACGGCCTCCAGCTGGCAGGCCCTGTCCGTCGAACCTGCCTCATAGATTTCCACCTGTTATCGGCTCCGGCTGCCTAAGGTACCTAGGTTGCCTGGCGTGCCTGCCCTGGCCCTGGCGCACCTGGATTCTCTTAGTAAGACGGTACGTACTGCGATTTCACGGGGTGAAGGGCACACGGCCCACGGGATGAAGTATCCGTAGGTAGGTATCCACACAGGACATCGTCAAGGTATCCATGGTACATACCTTATCCACCCTCCAGCAGCATTCGCAACCACCTGGAAGTCGTGCGCTCACAATGTTTTCTCCCTTCTCCCCCTACCTCGCCCTCTCCCTCTCTCTTTTTCCCATCCAAACGCCTCGACCCGCGACACCCGCCCAACATGGCGGTATGGCTTTCTAGTCCCCTTACTGCTACAGGGTCAACTAATGCCTATTCGGGTGAGTGGCATGGCGCGTCGCCTCCACTGGCATTCTCTGTCTCGTTTCTCGTGTAACAACCGAAACCCCCGCGAGACATACCAAGCAGCATTGTCTCTGGCGCAGACTCGTCCCGGAATCACTTCATCATTCACAATGGTTGGATCGCAGCCAGCTCCGAGCCATTCCGCTCATTCACCAAGAGACTCTTCTATGTAGACTCTTCTGCTTGCCTCCACTTACGCCTAACCGGGAAGAAGCACCGCATCTTGGGCGAGCAGAGCCATTCAGACGCAGACGCTGCTTGGCCCTTCCATCACCTGCCCTGCAAGTTGGGCCGAGTTGGGCCAAGCAAATGGAGAACCTTCAAACGACCGGGGGACGTCTCTGCGGGCTTATCCGCATCCCAAGGTGCCATCCCACGAACCTCGATATTTCGGACATGGCAGCTGGGCAAACCTTGTCTGGTTCCATCCATACATGCTTCGCACCTACAGAGTGCTGTTGCGTCGCTCCCGATGTTCCCACACTCTTGACGGAAATAGCGTATGCAAACTTTGCGAGTCTGGACGAGACACTAGAATCCATGCAACATTCATTGCCTGCGTCTTCAGTAAAACGTCTAGAGTACGGCGCTAATTTGGATCTTCGTCGTTGGAATCTGCTCGGCTGACTGTCGGCGGAGGCATACCGAATTCGGACTGCCGATTGCTTTCTTTTCAGTTTCACTTCATAGGGCCATGATTTACCGTTCTCTGACTTGTCAAATGCAGTGTCAGTGTCAACGATCGGAGCCTCGGGAAAGGAGTCTTAATGGACTTTAGGTCTGGCTGGTATACGGAGTACGCACGGCGGAGCGACAGCCAGCCTGTTGCCGACGCTACCTCTCGCCTTCGTATCGATCAATCACTAATCGACCTGAGATCGGTCGATGTGCAGCCCGGGACCAAGCATTCTGGGACGCGGACCGAAATGCAAAAGCATAGCCAAGGCAGACGCCGCCATCCACCCCTGGACATAGAGACTTCTTGTGGCCATTTAGGCTTTGGAAGGGAAGGGGGGGTCAGCATCGGCACCACCACCGTCAGCGGTCCCTTACTACGTATGCCTGGAACCCTGGGTCGTTCGGCTACGTTGCTCGCGGCGCGGGCCATATTGCGGCGCACGCTATGAATTCAGCAAACCATGCTCCATCTTATCTCATCCCCCCCGGTCTGCCACCTTGAAGTTATACGTCTTTTTTGCGGTCAACACGGGCCACTCCCGCGCCTCCTTCGGAGCAAAGAGTCAATGCGCCAGATGCCCGCTGACCGATCCGCGGCCGTCTGCGTCCCCAGACGAAGAGAACCTACGTCGGGCGGGATAATGCCTGTTCCAGTCCTGAAGCAACCCAGGTGATGTTGGCGCGGGGGCGTGGGCATGGCTGGTTTTCCCTTGATGCGCCAGACGAAAGCCGAAATGCTCTGCAGAGAGGCGACAACTAAGCAGGAAAGCCACGCCGATCATCCGTTCCTTGTCCCAGTCGCCTTGCTATTGAGAGTCACGAGTGTATCCGTATGCTCTGTCAGTCGACCTAGAAGCCGGCTGTGGAACACGCGATGGGGATGCAACCTAGAAGATGCAAATCGCCATTTGCACTTACCTCGGAAAGGACGGCGATACTGGAATCACGAGAAGCATGTAGTTGTGATCTTCACGATTATTTCACGTCACAATTGCAGCCGTCAATTGCCACCTGATGACGATACCTTTGAGATATCCCGCCTTTCATTGCCGCCAAATGTTCCACAACAGTTCTCGCTGATTAGAATCGTTCGAATGAAGGCCAATATGCCAGGATTGAGCACAACAGCCCCCCCAGCCATCTTGCGGGGCCGTCCGGTCGAATACCAAATCTGGACCAGATGTACCGCTGAGCAGAGGCACTGGAGTTGGACGGCAGACTATCAAAAAGGTACGAGGATCCGTCATATGGCCCTCGTCTCCCAAGCCAAGCGTTTGGCCCAACAAGAAGCTGTATCCCTCTGGCATATCACACGAATAATGTTCAGGCGAAAAAAAACAAAACTAAAAAAACTAAAAAAAACTCGAAGTCTCAGGCCCAAGATGCACAAAATGTTCAGCGAAAGCGGCGAAGGGACTTGTCACGCCGTCCAACAGGACCCTCGTGAATGCAAATGTACTTTCCCTCGGGGATGGAGAGCAACTTCGCTCGTCTGTTCCGGTTGGCACTATCCAGAAATCGTTCCAACATCCTTGCTTGGCCGACCTTGATCTTGACCTGGGCCGTCCACAGCGACCCCTCGTGCCCTCCCACCAATGCCCGCCTCATTCCTTCTGCGCGTGGGGTTGATCAGAGACATGGGGCCTGGTGTGTGGCCAGCATGGACATTCACACCATACGGATGGCACACCCGCCTTTTCTACAGGCTTGGTTCACTTGGCGGTGTTGCTATGCTGTTCTGACTGTGTCCCCATAGAATTACTGTAGCAGAACCAACAGCCCGGACGACGGCGACGAAGGGGTAGAAGCAAACATGCTTATTCCAGACTCTATCGATCTAGTCGGTGCCGGAGAACCCCTCCGTAATGGAGAGAGCAGAGGGACAAAGCCAGCTTAATCACGAGAGACAACAAGCAAGGGAGAGGCGGGCAAGCAATGCTAGCCGGTGACGCCCGGCACACAGTCAATCTTGGGGGCCGACAGCACGGCCGGCTAGAATTCAACCATTTGCCCACCCTCCCACGCCTCCCTGCACCCCGGCCAGTAGGTACTTCGTGGGAACGCAAGCTTCAGACCACCACTCATTGCTTATTGCTCAAGTCGGCCACATCCACCCCCGATTAAATTCGCAATCCCACTTCCCTGATTTCCCTACGAATTGTGACCTTACGCACTTCCAGCAGGGCAACTCTCTTTACCAAAACGCTTTCACCAGCACAGCGTTCATTCAGACTCATCGTTACAAGCCAAACTTCGCTTATCCAACCACTGCATGCATCATCGATCCCGAGATACCAGCCTTACCTGCCATCACCAAAGCTTCGTTCATTGAGCTCTCCACCTCCGCAAGCAAAGAAGTAGGACTGCGTCTGTCCAGTCATCGCACCTTGATCACCTGTCAAACCCGAATTCGTCCAGACACTTATCGTGGAGTGCGAGTTACCCGACACACTGCAGGTATTTCGTGTAGCACCTGGAAGCAAACACCCGTCGGTTGCAAGCTGTCAACAGCCACTGCCTGCTCATCTGTGCCACTTGAGGCCTGCCTTACTTAGCATCGCCTCGACAAACATTGGTCACAGTCGTCCAACTCTGCGTATTTTGCCCTCCCCTATCTCAAGTCACTCTGCCACGAGCACAGTCATCCTGGCGCAGCGCGGGTTCTACAGGAGGGGAGCCCACTGGTTCTTGGTGCACCGAGTATCTCGTCAAGGTTTCTGCGCTCAAACATCCGCCACCCCTCACTGGCTTCACGGGTCTATAACAGGCCCGAACCGTCACAATTTCTTCCCAACTTCGCATCCAGTCTATACTCTCTCCCGCGTCGGATTCCGATGACGCACCTACAGCGTCCTCTACTCACACCACGCCGAAGAGGAGATATCAAGAAACATTTTCGCCTTCGGAGAGAACCTCCGCGCCCCCCGCTGTAGCAGAGCCCGCAGATAGGCAAGCTTCGGGAGGGGCCAGATTTCACACTTCCGTCCTGCCCGACGACGATGACTTGAGGCCGATCTTGGCGGGAGGCTCAAGTGCCAAGAGGCCCTCTAGAGCCATGCGGCCGCCGATGAGATCCAGCATAGCTTGTTTGAGATGCAGGAAATCCAAAATCAAATGCGACAACGACAATACTGGATCGCCTTGCGACACGTGCATCAAGGCAGGACACAAGTGTGAGTTTCCTGATCCAACACCTCTTCCGGCGAAACGATCAGAACCGCCGACTGCGCCGAAGCAGGAAAGGGAAGTCGGGCATGACCGGAAGCGAGTGAAGAAGCTCGAATATGCCACGTCCTCTGATGGACGTACTGTCGCCGCGCTTGCTCAGGAAGTGCTTTCGGCGCCCTATCTTACCGTCGACTTGTGGCATCAACTCTTCGACATATATAAGCTGCACTTCGCTACCGAACTCCCGTTCTTACATCTCCCGACTCTCAAGGGTATCATTCACGACAAAGACATCAAGAAGCCGTCAACCGAATCAAATCTGATCCTTTTGGGCATTCTGGCTCTCACCGCAAGATTTCACCCCGACTTGGTCAAATATGTGGCACACATCACACATGACAAAATCGCCGGCCCAAAATCTCGCGGTGCTCTACCCAGGCCGGAGCCATCAATGGCCTCAGAGTACTTCGCAAACGCTCTTACAAAGGCACTGGGACAACTCGAATCAGCCCTGACATCAGCTACTGTCGTCCGTGTCCAAGCTTTTCTCATGCTCGGCTTGTACAAATGGAGCCAGCCGAACGGCGGCCTAGCGGCATGGATGTATGTTGGCGTTGCCATACGGATGGCTCAAGGCTTGAAATTGGGGTTCGGAGACAAGCCTTTGAGAGGGAGGAGAAATTTGACTCTGTCTCCTCGGTCGAGTAAATCTACTCAACTACCCTCAGACCGTTGGAAAGACCAGGAGATTAGGCGTCGTACCATGTTCAGTTGCTTGATACTCGACCGTCTTTTGTCCTGCGGATCTGATCGGGTTTCTATGGTTCGGTCCGACGATCTTCAAATCCAGCTGCCATGCACTGAACACGCCTTCGACCTAGGCCGCGTTGTCTATACCGGATTCTTACGACAGGTGGGACATGGCATGGAGCCACCAATCGATGACAGTGTCTTGAGTCGATTCGTGCAACTAGCAGATTTCTGGGGCGATATCACCAAGTACAGTTTCGCGGGCGGCCGCCATACGGAATCCCTTCCGCCGTGGGACCAAGAGTCGACTTTCTATCAACTGAATAAGAAGGTAGATGCCTTTTACGCTCACCTTCCGGAAGAGTTCACCTGGTCTAGCTCGAACTTCTGGAAACACGACAACAGCATGTATGTGTCACTTCACATGCTGGGTGCCCTATGCAAAATCATGCTGCATCGCGAATACATCCCGTTCATCGCCATCAAATGTTCCGAGCCGGTTGGTCCTCTGGACGAGCCCGTCTTTGACCCCGAAACTGTTCCCGACCACTTTTGGGAGCGAAGCGCAGAGCAGGTTTTCAAGGCTGGAAGGGAAATCATCGACCTCATCTCGACATGCCGAGACAAGCTTCCTCATTCGTCACTAGTCATATTCGCAATTTGGCAAGCAGCGTTTGTTGGAATATACGCACGGCACTATCCCCACATGGATACTCAAAACCACATGGTCAGCAAACAGGAGATCGAAGAACGGAATTCAGGAGCCATGTCTGAAAACACGCAGACGGGGAACACCAGTATCGCTTTCCAAGCATTGACCAAGGTTGCACCTTACTTCAGCATGGCCTCCAATTACGTCACGTATTTCAAGGACATTGATCAGTATCTCACCAAGGTCTACTCCGACTACACAAATCGAGGTTCGAAGAAGAGCGGAGACGGTTCTCTGACCATTCGACTGGGAGGAGGTGGCGGCGGACTGGAAGAGTGGAGGGCAAAGGCCGACAAGATTACGAGCAACGGCATCATCATGGACGACGACCGTCCAATAGCCTACGACGGCTCTGATGGATCGCGGGCTAGCACATTGGAAAGAAGCTCTTCCTTGGGACCTGAGTATTCTCATCTCAGCGGGAGCGGTTCGGACAGCCGGAGGGATTCCCGCCAAGCGTCGTCATTTACCGCCATCAACGCCGCCGCATTCCACCAGCAAGCCGGTCACGAAGGCTATGCCGGAGGCATTCCACATCACTCACCAACTCAGGGCTTCCCGCCAACTCCCGGCTCCCTATCAAACGAGGTTGCGATGGCTAATGTCAATGCCGAGACAGTCAGCATCGATTCATATGTGCAGCAGAACCAGGGTCAGCGATTCGGCACTATGCTTGAGGACATTCAGGAATTCACGACGGGCGGGATGGTCTGCGCGCCCAACATTGGTGACTGGGACATGCTCAAGCCCCCCTTCTACACGCAGATGGCCGGTGGCAACCCGTTGCCCCAGTTCAGCGGGAGTTATTCTTGAAGGGGTCAGATGAGCAGGTGGGAGAGGCTTCTAGGCCCCCAACCCGAGACATGATTATATGGGGAATGATGTATGGGAACGCTGTGTAAGGGAATTGTATTTGAGCGCGTGTGATATTTTCAGACAGAAGTTACGAGTGCGTTATAGTCTTGGATACGAAGCCATGACGAACCCTTCCCCCCCACCCCCTTCGCTGCGGAGCGAGAAGTCACAGGAAAATGTCGACCGGGCATAATCAGCATGAGAGAGCGTTAGAAAAAAGAAAGAAAAGATAATCATCACCGTATTTACGAAGAGTTGTTCCGCGGTGCAATAAGTTGCGCCACATAAGGGAAGGGCTCCAACAAGACGAACGCTAATAATCCATGCCGAAAGTTTACTGATAGAGAGTCCTCTCCCTCCCTTGGCACTGCCTGCCGCGAACGTTGAGCCACGTTCTCGTCACGTTCACGTCACGCAATTTCCTCGTGGTATTTCTCTCGTCTCTTTCTGCTTGCAGTTTTTTTGTTGCGTTTCGATCACGTGGGGGAAGCGTGTCAGAAGTCGAGTCGAGTCGAACTCGATTTGAGTTCGAGTCAAAAAATGAGGAACCAGCCAAGTCAGTCTTGTCAGGTCAGTCAAAGAGGTCTGTCTCTGTACGACGCCGGCCGTGTCCGTTTTCCCCTAACATGTTTCGGCACTGGAACAATGTCTCGAACTGTTTTTTCCTGGAATGAAGGTTTACCGATTCCCAGGTACGCGTTGCGTTGCGCGGTGTTTGCGTAGCCATTTTCGCATGTTCAAAAGTTGACCCGAAAGGGAGCGCATTCCAATCCACCGAACCAAACCAACCTAACCCTTGGAGGGGGGGAGGACCGTAAGTAGTACCTAGTTCTAGCCCACCAGAGGGACACACTCCCCCAGCTCCAGCCAGCCACACGGAATCCAGGGTTGACAAGGTTGCGGGCGTTGTGTTTAGGGGTTCTCTCGATGACGCGCCGACCGGCCTTTTTTCTCTGGATGGGATTTTGTATCTCACCTTACTCGAATGCGGCGCTGTTTGTCCAAGGCTCCGGCTGGCAATTACTATCGTGTTTTGTGTAATCTACGATTCATGTTGATGACGAC